TGAATTGACATAATTTCCTATAATGTTTCGATCAATAATTTGTTTTAGCGTCAATTCCAACCACTAATAATTCTAAAATCGTCAAATACAGTATTGCCAACTATTTCAATCATTGTTGATCACTTCGTATAATTTCAGGCGACAAAACATTTCCTAAAGGAGCCAATGTAATACTCTATACCCATGCTCTGCATCGTAATAGCAAATATTGGCCGAATCCAGAGAAGTTTGACCCAGACAGGTTTCTACCAGAAGAAATTGCTAAAAGACCGCCATATTGCTACATGACGTTTTCAGGGGGGCCAAGAAATTGTATAGGTGACTATCATATATCATATCCATCACCATCATCAAGAGTAGATTTCTAAACAATTTTGTAAAAAAAGCTTTGTTGTTGTAACTGCTAACAAATAATAATAATATAACTTTTAAATGGCAAAACTTTTTAGTGGCTTTCTTCTTTATGTACCGTCTCCATATCGGAGGTTGGCTATCACCATTGCTATTTTGACCTTGGAAGCTGCGGCCCTAAATAGGTCAGATGACGTGACATTAAAGACAGATGTTCACACAGATGTTCATTGGGCACTCCAGTTTTAATGACAATCATGTATTTGGTCTTTTTAACATTGAGTGTCAGACCATATTCTCGACTAGTTGTGATGACGTTATTTAACATATTCTGAAGGTCTTGCATGTTTTCAGCGAGAAGGACTGTATCGTCCGCGTAGCGCAAATTGTTCAGTGGTATGCCGTTAACTAGTATTCCACCAGCATCATTTTCGAGGGCTTTGTTAAAGATTTCCTCTGAGTAGACGTTGAAAAGGAATGGTGAAAGAACACATCCCTGTCTAAATCCTCGTTTGATATCCACTGCTCTCGTCAGTTCAGATTGGACGCAGATGCACTTTGATTGAGGTACAGTTTTACTATTGTTTGTATATCTCTTGAGATATACATAGAGAGATACATCTTGAGATACAAGAGATATACGAAAACAAATACATGCACTTAATGCTGAAATTGTCATTAATTGTTACAGTCTTCTTGAAAGACGAATATCTCCAACAACAAAAACGCTGTTGAGATGAATAAAACACAAATTATTGAGAAAAGATATATCTTCATAAAGTAGTTTTAAATGTCTTACTTTGATTCCATAGGGTGTTTCAAGCACTGACTGGTCAAAATATCAACAATTTGTTTTCCCTCGTATAATAGACACATGGGGACTTTACTTTTTAAATTGAAAAGAGTCAAATATTTTCACTACAAATTCTTAAAAAAATCATCAAAATCGACCGACTAGAACAAAATATATTAACAAAGAATGATTAATAATAATATGTAAAATGAACTTAAAATATATGAAAATGTTACAGTGACAGTTTTTCGTTTCAGTCAAGATATATAATGAAACCAAATATCCTTCTTTTAATAATAATGTGTTTTTTATAGGCAAACTATACGCAATGATGTCTATGAAGGTGGTGGTGGCCAATGTGATTCGACATTTTCGGATATCATCCAAATATCGCTCAGTTGATGAGATGGAGTTGAGAGGCTTAATCACAATGAGAACGAAAGGCGATATTGACTGCCATTTTTCACCCAGAAATTAATTAAAAACATTTAAATAATAATTATAATTATTATTGTTACTCTGTAATCAATAAAGTGATACAAAGACAAAAATAAATACAGTTTTGTAATATCGTCGATATTATATAAAGTATAAGTGTATTTTTTACTTTGTGAAGTTTATAACATTTGATTTTATAATTTAATTGACGCTTTCCGCGATAGTGTGTTTGGTCTCGGGTGCTATTTGTCTTTGTACTCTTTAGTCATTGGAGACAAAACAGTCAGGGTTTGTCAGCCCGGCGCCGCTGGAGAATGTCCATGATTGCCACCAAGAAAATTAATAATCGCGCTCCCGATGACGCTACTAAAAGTTTATTTGGTATCGCTTATAGTAATGAAAATATTAAAAAGCTTGATAGCGTAAAAAATACAACCTTTTAAGAACTGATTTTTTTTATAGGTTTAGTATCAAACATTATCAAAATTAAACACTAATTCACCACAATACACAAAACACGTTATTTTTGCACTGGACCGTAACCACCGTAATAACAAGGCCGGACAGCTTATTCGTGACGTCATCAACTGGAGGTCTAAACTTTGATTGCATTTGATACACTTTATACGTATATAATGAATATAAACTTTAATTGCACCGAATTTTTAATAAATAATATTTAAATATAAAATTTAAAAAATATCAGATTGATATCCCATCTCACATTACCCATCGTCATTGTATTTATTTATGCTGTAAGTGTGTCTAAGTTTCTTTTATTTCCTTTTCCAACTCTATCATTATTTTTTAACAACAGTAGTTTTTCAGACGTTTATTTCTAATAGAATTTATTGCAGTTTTTACAATAACTTAGCATTATAAATAGTACATTGCGGAAATTTTAATAATGGTGTTATTACTTTTAATATAATCCAAAGAAATTTTTGATAAAAATATTTTTTTATTGTGAATTTTGAGAAACTCCTCATGGCTTTGCAAAACTTTGTTAAAAAATATAAATTCAAATAAAACTATATTAGTTATTTCATCTTTTGGAAACCCAAAACTGCCTTTAGTAAGGTTTTTTATAAGTGAATTTTGTTCAGCATCAGTGTTTGAAAATGTTAAATAATTTTTAGGGACATTAATGATTGAATCTTAAGTTTCTTTTCGCCTTCATATAAATGTCGAACACAAATACTGTACTGACTCCCAGCTAACTGTCTATATTTTCCAAACCTACTTTCAAGAGGATCAGTTTGCAAGTTCTCTAGTAAAACATACCTCATATTTTACTCATTAAAACAATATTTTATTACTTCAAGCTCAACCTGTTACTCAACTCAAGTTATTAATTTTAATATTGAACACAGATAAAAGTTAGAAATTGTTTATTATTTTTATGGCATTTTAAAGAATTTAGGAAAAAACAAGCATGACTAATAATTTCATCTGTATAACTATCAGGGTTCGGGAAACTACATGTTACTCCTAAAAACTACATAAACTACATTACATGTAGTTAATCGATGTAGAGGGTGTAGTTTATGTAACTTTAAAATATGTAAGGTTTGAGGTGAGGTAGAAGATAAATAAAAGCTTTAAATATAATATTCGCATCTTATTATATAGACCTCTCATAAAGCGGAAAATTATTAAACTGATGACCATATTATAAATCAGGTTGAAAAATACCGTATGATCAAAAAAAAACGGCGTCTAGTTGGCTTGGAAATGATGATCGATGACATTCCCCATATAATTTTACATATAAAATGACAGCGATCTTCATTTCATAGCCATCGCTGACGCCGTTTTTTTTCGATCATATTGTATTTTCTACAAAGTCTTGACAAAAAGGTGAACTAGAACTAACTAGGTGATTATCTTATAGATATTATAAAATGTTTTGAGTTTTCATATTTTATAATAATTTTAATATATTGTGTTAACCATTATATTCTGTTTTTTTATGAATATATAAATAATTCTTTGCTTAAATAAAAAGCCATATGCATTACATTATTTCTATCAAAATTAACCAACAGAATATTTTTTTCGTAATATCAATACGTAGTCTATTAAAGTAGTTTTTATGTAGTTAATGAACGGGAAAAAGGTAGTTTTTGAAGAAGAACTACACGTACTTATTCAGGTAAATTACGTCTTAATTGACTACTTCCGAACCTTCATTTTTATTAGCTTTGTAAAACTAGTGAATCAAGTAATAAACTATCAATTTCATTTATAAATCTTTCAAATGGTGTTTTTAGTTCATTTATCTGGACTGTAGTATTTTGGCCATATAAATAGATTTCTAATTTCAGATCTAAATGTCCTATGTATTTAATAATTAAAAAAAGCAGGATTTTTCATCTGTATATGTGATAAACTAAAGTATACTTTCCTTATCAAAATGCTGATCACACATCCTGCTCTATTGTGTCACCACAAATTCATCACGATGAATAGCGAGCCACTATTTCTGAATATTCCTATCATTAGGAAAGCGACGCCGCGCGCCGCCGTCGCCCCGGAGTAGGGGGCATTGATAAATTACATAATATATATACTATAAAAAATATCAATTTTTTTTATTGTTTATTGTTTTTTCTCATATTATATACTATTGTGATTTGGCTTTTGACTTAAAATATTCCTTTATTAAATTTGATTGATAAAAAGTGAGAGATAAAGATTTATTGACTGGAATGATTTTTTCCGTATTCTATTAAAACTATTTTTATATACTATAATATTTTTAAAAACTCGGAAAAAGACATTAACTTCGAAATATCAAATATACCTGGTGAGTGAAAAAAGATCCACAATTTGAACTTTTATCGGGTAATTAACAACGCTGCTAAATAGAGTTGAGCCTCCAGTTGGTGACGTCACACGTTTTTTTTACGTCACAGCTGTCCAGCCTTGTTATTACGGTGGTTACGACTGGACGCGCGTTTTGCTAACCATGTTACCACCATCAGCAGATAATTAAAACTCAGGTAGAAGTTTTAGTCATCTGCTGATGATGCTAACATGGTTAGCGAAACGCGCGTTCAGTACAGAAGTAAAGTGTGTTTTGGTGTATTGTGGCGAATTAGTGTTTTATTTTGCTATAGTAACAACGCAGGTTCCAATTCCAAACTGTACTTAATATCAAGCATTATGCTTATCAAACATTCTGCCTTATAAAGTTAAATTCTATCATTTTTTGTAAATTAAGTTCCCATTGTTATTAATAAATAAAGAAAATCAGTCATTGTGAACAATTCATTTATTCAACTTATGTACGTATTTTTGTTTATTTATTGTTAATTTAACATATAATATATTGTTTAAATACTAAATCGGAATTTTTAATAACAAGTTCAATTGTCATTAGCTCGAAACAATAATAAATAAATTTTCAAGCCCGCTAGACGGTTACCCACTTTTAAAATAAATTTTGTGACTAAATTTTCTACTAAGTCAAAGAAAGGTGAGTTTTTTCGTCTATAAATAGCAATGTTAATATAATAATAGTATATTACATACCGAGGAAGTGTGTTTCATTACTGTCGAGAAGATTAACTAAATCTCGAAACAATAATGAAAACTTTCCTCCGAGGTGTGTCCGAGGTCTGAATACTATTTTATTTACAACCACGTCATTTATTAATAGGCGGTTGAAGCGTAGTGCTAGCCACATTACCTTCCTTCTATACCGAACGGCTCTAGTATAGCAAGCTGTACCTTGCTACTCCCAAGGCGTTAAACGCTATATACGGGAGCTATTACTATTATTATATCATTAATTAAAAAATAGGGACAGTATTTTGTGAAAATTTGTCGTTTCTGTTTTGGCATTTCCATATCTATAGCATATTTATAGTAACCGGTACCAGTGGTTGTTATGGCGCAAACCTTCAACAGCAAAACAAACAACTAAGTGACAGTTTTGAATTTCTCGTTCGCTTTTTCGAATTTATATAACATAGAAAGCCAGAACGTTGTCGGAAAGTTCTGATAATGAAGACTACTTTAATATTGGTACTCCACCAGAACTTACAGAAGCTGCAAAAAGAGCAGAAGCCAGTTTACTTCCAGAGAAAAGTAGGGGGCTATAAGAAAATAGCATTGAAAGTATACGAAAAATGGTGTGCCGAAAGAAATGCTGCTAAAGAAATATTGCTTCGGAGACAGTCTTGATGGCATATTTTATCGACATGGCAAGGCAGAAAAAGTCATATACTCTTTGGGCTACGTACAGCATGATACGGACAATGCTAGAATTAAAGAAAAGACATATAAAAATATCACAAACTCGTCGCTTTTTTAAAACGCCAGAATGTAGGTTTTAAGCCAAATAAGTCTAGCATTTTTACCAGGCAAAACTTGGAGGATTTTCTCAGAATTCCTTCCTATTAAAGTAAGGTTTTTTTTTTAAAATGTTTTCTTTTTCTGTTTTTATATATATTTGTTTTCATTGTTTTAGGTTGTGCTTATAGTAAGTGTGTCTGGGGCATGTCGAAGTGATGAGCTACTGAAGATGAAAACTCCACATATTGATATTTTAGAAAACAACTTTGCATAGAAATTCCCGATACAAAAATTTATAAGAGCAGATCATTTATGATAACTAACACAAGTTGGAAAGAAATTGTGAAAGAATTTATACAGTTACGAAAAGATATTGAAAATGACAGAATTTTTGTTCAATATCGATTAGGAAAAGTTCGAAATCAACCCTTTGGATACAATTCTATATCTAAATTTCCCTACAAAATTGCTAGCTTTTTGAAACTTCCCAATGCGATAATCTACACAGGTCATGCTTTTAGACTTATACGAACAGCGGCTACGTGGTAAATAGCGGAGCTGATATTTTACGGCTGAAGCGTCTAGGGGGATTGAAATCCAGTGCTGTGGCCGAGAGTTATGTGGATGCATCTGTAGCCAACCAAACTAAAACCGCAAATATGATATCTTCAACGGCATCGTTGCCATCGTCATCTTGTAGCAATTCAAACTCTTTACCTTCTTTCGTTGACATTAGAAGACCTTGCACAAGTCAGGAGTTAAGTTTTTACACCAGTGAAACCTCCATGAGTGAAACACATCATCAGGGCGGCCCCTTAACAATATCGATTAACGCGTACAATAAGTCAAATTTGATCATTAATTTCAACAAATAAATGTATTAAAATCTTCAATTATTATTGTTAATCTTCTTGTCTATTTTTGTTGATGTTAGATAAGTATTTAATAAAGATATTACAAGAATATTTTGCTGAATTAAATGAGGCGAGAAATAAGAAAAACCGAGTGAGGGAAACGGAAGAGGGAAAAAATGTAGATAATTTGACACTTTCAAATTTTTTAAAAGTCAGTAATGTCAGTATTACATAATATGTGGTTGTAAATAAAATAATAAATTAGGTTGTATACAAAATAAATATTATTTTAGTAATTAAATATCTGAAGATTTTTTATAGTATTGTATTGATTATAAAACCGAGTCTTTAACATATCTTTATTTTTTATCTTTAGCATGATATGGACGAAAATTATATTAGGAACAGGAATTATCTTAATTATAATATTTTTCTGGACTGTCTGGTCACTTTACTCAAAGAGAGAAATTTTGAAATTTGCTGAAAAATACAAATCGTCCGACAAATTTTATCCAATTTTCGGTAACTCCTTAACGCTTATAAACAATGGTGAGTGATGAGTACTTTATATTTAATTTTTATGTCGAGTTACCTTACCGAATAAAAAAGTCGAATTTTTTAAAACGGAACATCTATGTGTTCTTTTTATTCATTCTGTAGAAAATTAGATATAAATTATATATGAAGCGAGGTAAAAATACATAGAGTAAATTAAGATGTATTGAATTGCTTTGGTTTATATGTCACGATTTCTTACTTATCATTTTTGTATCTAGAAAATTTAGGATTATTTAAAGAGTGGTTTTTAGATTGCTTTCAGTTTGCAAATCAAGTAAAAAAGAGAGGTTCTCCAATTGGATGTTGGTTAGGACCCAATTATTATTACATGCCAGATGACAGCGAAGAAATTAGGCTAATCCTAACACATCCAGATTGTCTGGAAAAAGCCGAATTATTCTATAATTTAAGCAAATTAATTATACCAGCTAATATCCTATACTTACCAGGTAAATTACTATACTCACCCCTATAACTTTTCTTTGTCAGATAAATAAACTAGATTTGATACCTTTGTATGTGACATAAATCAGGATTGATTGACGTATTCATTTGTTTTTGCTCACTTCCTATTTCACCGGAAATTACTACAACTTTTTATTTATAAATGGCACCCTCGGTATTTTTTTAATTTATTCGATAGAAAATGACAGTCTGACTAGAATGACATATAATATGTCAACTTTTGACATTCTCGCTTAAAAAAATGTAAAATAAAAACACTAAATCACCACAATACACCAAAACACTTTTACTTTTACACTGGACGCGCGTTTCGCTAACCATGTTAGCATCATCAGCAGATGATTATAAACTAAAGTACAATCTACAAGTTGATCGTTTATATACTCGCTCAGTGGGCACCGAGTGGGCGTGGCAAAATCTAGCCAACCGAGTCAAAGCCCACTGAGCGTAACAGTTAGATTTCCGCCACTAGAGTAGTAGGAACAAAGAACTTGAAGGAATTGGACCGTTGGCTCTGTTCATACTATCTTTACATTTATTAATTCTGATGCTTTCATATGCATCTAATTGCCTGTAATTTGAGACTTGTTTAATTAATTTTAAATTATTAAGATCTATACAATGTTCTTCTTTTGAGTGTAATGGATATTCTCCTTCACTAGTTGATAAATTAATTAGAAAACGTAGGTTAATGATTTCTGAAAATTCGACTTTTCAAGTGGAGAAAGATACGTCTAAATATTTTTCGATACCGTTTGATAGAGAGTTATCCCGTGGTCTAAAAGGAATTTTTAAGAATGTCAATTATAAACTTGTGTATAGTGCTAATAATAAATTACAACAATTATTAGGTAATCCAAAGGATAAAACACCTCCACTGGAAAGGTCGGGTATTTATGAAATTTCTTGTAAAGATTGTAATCAGAAATATGTTGGGCAAACTAGAAGATCAATATTAACTAGATTTAAAGAACATTTAGCTTAGATAAGATATGGTAGACCTGATAAATCTTGCGTTGCCGAACATATTGTTGATAAAGAACATTGTATAGATCTTAATAATTTAAAATTAATTAAACAAGTCTCTAATTACAGGCAATTAGATGTATATGAAAGCATCAGAATTAATAAATGTAAAGATAGTATTGTAACAGATTATTTCCTTTATATTATTATTTATATGATTAACAGATAATTTCCTATATCCTTTACGTTCAAGTCGATGTTTTCGGTTATTAGTTTCGGGAGAGGGTCTTTTAACAGGAAGTAATAAAACAAACATCTTTCAAACGTGACTATTTTAAATTCCCAAACTTATAGAAGGGCAAAGCAAATAAACTGTAGAACTTAGAAGTAAACAGAAAATTGTAAAGATAGACCTTAGATAAAAACGCTGGGACGTTGTAAAACCAATAACCACCCTTGATAACATGTAACTATCGCCGGATATTTGTAAAGGATCTGGGAACTTTAGGAAAGCACGTAACTAGACGTAAACGAGAATTAAATACGTAAAATGGTCATAGTACTGCCATCTAACAACGGGAGGTCGAACCAATTTGGTTTGAAGGGCGGTGTCAAGCTGACCAATCAAGCAAAGAACAGTACCTTTAGGGATGATCCTATTGGCTAAGTACCGAATGCACCACCCTTCAACCCTGTAATGTTGGAACCTCGGGGCTGTTTTTAGGCAGAAAAGTTAGTTCGGTTTAAGTTTCTAAAAGAGACGGTTCTCTCTCGGGTTCGCGAAACTCGGTAAGGTTCACGATGTGACCCCCTGTAGTTTTTAAGTGTGGTGTCTACTAATAGTATTTTTTTTATGTCCTTTTGTCAAATGTTTTTAATTTTCTTCTCTAAAATTATTTTAATGTGTTGTAGTAAGATTTAGTAACGAAGGTTCAATTGATTATGTAATTATCAGATTTTTCAACAAAGCAGACAGCAGACAATTTTCTTGTATTTTTCCATCTATTTTCCATTTTTAGTAATAACAAGTAATTTCGATCATATACATATATATTTTTTTATTTGTTCTTTATTTTCTTTTTAATATTAAATTTAAATGTTTTCTAAAAACTCGGCCGTTTTATTTCGATAGTAAAAAATAAGAGTGTTTTAAAAGTATATAAAAGTAAGATCATTATGAACGAGCACAATATCTCCAGAGCAGTCCAGAAAAGGCTCCAGAAATGAGCTACAGATTCACAGAGAGAGGTCTGGCCGCAATTAAGGTAAGTTATAATAGATTTGAGAGACTAACAGCACTAAGACAAAGCATTAAACATACGCTCCAAAGAGTCGGTGTACTTCTTATCCAAGTTTGCCTTCCGCTCAACGTAATTGGTTTTTTTATAATTATAAAATAGTCACGCTACCCATAGACAAGTGATTAATCCGAAAAGATTTGTCACATAAAATTTGGTGGCAGCTCAGGGGATACAAAAATAATTAATTTGTAGGACCTAGATTATTCCTTTTGATTTTATTTTTTATTTAAAATTTGGTTACAGCTAAGGGGATACACAAATAATTAGTTTGTAGTACCCAGATTATTGTTTTTGGATTTTATTTTTGATTTAAAATTTGGTTATAGCTAAGGGAATCTTGGAAAACTAATTTGTAGTACGTAATTCTTGTTTTTGGTTTTATTTTTCTTTTAACTTGAGAAGAAAAGGCTAAATTTATTTTTCTCGATTTTTTTAACTTATTTTTGTGACTTTAACAGTATTAGTTGAATATTAATAGTTATCCTATTAAGGTGATAATTGTAATAAGTTGAATGAATATTTTTATAATCCGTCTGAAATTTATTTTCTGGTATGTTTGTTAATGGATCTTAGTGATTAAAATGTTATAATTCTATTATTTTTGATGTTTTGTCCTGGTTTATTGTATTTTATTTTAGATATAGCGGCGGCCACAAGATATTTTAAGTTTTTCTTCATTTCTGTACGAACGCAAAATGTAATTTGTCGATTTAAAATAATTTCGTTGATAATATTGATTAATAAATTAAAAATTGATTCTATATATATTTTTGTTTCAACGATAAGAGTGATTTAAGGATTACGTAGAAAATTTAAATAATTTTGGTTTTGTTGATTTTAAGTTTTTTTTTTCTCTTAAAGAATAATTGCAACAATAGTTTTTGTTTAAAGTAGAATTTGCGTTAAATCAGAATATTTAATTCTTGAGAGTAGTCTTTTGTTTTAAGAAAAAATCATGAAGATTAAATAGATATTTTTTTTTAAGTTAGGGAAACTTGAATGTTATTAGTAAATAGATTGCGGTAAAGTAATTAACGGGAATTAAAGAGTAAATATCATGGCAAGGAAATTGTACAGTCAGCCTCTAGAAGCAAAATCTGTTAACTATCCTTCTCATAGCAATCAACGAAGTACCTAGTTTTTTTAAGTAACTAAAACTGAATGGATTTTTTTTGTAGTTAGCATGGAAGATTAAACCGAACTCTTTCGACATGCTAAAAAGTATTCCCATGTCGTCATATAGAATTAAGTATTGTCGTAAACCCTTATTGTTTTATTCAGAAGTAAAGTGAATACGTATGTTTTTCCTATAGCTAATTTATAGGTAATATTTTAATTTGGATATATTTTTTTTTATGCTATTACGTTTTTCGGGAAAGGCCGACAAGTTTTATTACGGTTGTAAGAACGGAGACAGTTCTAGTAAAAGGTATAACTTGACTAGACAAGGTTTTAAAGCATTTTTTTTTGTGTTGCATTTTTTTATGTTTATGATAGGGTTTGGGACAATCTTAATTCTCCCGTATACTTAATTTATTATTCATCTCTTGTATTTATTTCATTTATTTTTGCAACTTACCTACAAGTAAGATTTGTTTTCAATTAAGAAAAATTAAATAAGGAATCCAACGGCTATATCAGTATGATTGTATATTTATACCCTAAGGTTTTTTTTTCATCGAGAGTAGATACCTGAGCGACGGAGGTATTACCGGTCAGTTTTATGACACTGGTCGTAGGTTATTGGGAGAAACAAGAAACTACGAGGGTAACTTAAATGTAGAGTCGGAAAAAAAGAAGTGGAATTTCGAAAATGTTTCAGAGATAAAAGGTGACGCATATAAATTGCGTAAGGCATGTAAGGTTGTGTTTAGAAGAGGATGTTGTTCACGGTTGGCAAATTGGTTTATGGGCTTCAGGTCAACGTTTCTTTTCAAACTACACAAAGGACGTTGGATCTCATCTAGGCACTCAGTAAGGGTGGCCAGACAGTCTCCGAAAAGCACAAGTAAGCACGTTAGGTAAAAAAGGGTTAAAAGGAATAATTATGGATACGAACATCCATCAGTTTTGCCAGAAAGGAGCCGAAGTAATTTCTACTCCCAGTCCAGAAGAATTGCAAAGGACTATCGACGAACTAAAGAGGAAAATTGAGAAGTGCAGTGTGGACATATCAGATACACGTCTAATTCTGCCACGGATTTGTCATCCAGGACAATGAGTGTGAAACCTGCGTTCACTGATAAGGAGGTCAGTGATGGCATACGAAGTCAAGGGAGCAGGAACCTATCGATTAGAGCGTGCCAAAACTCAGAGGGGCTGAAAACCCGAGTTTATTTTTTTGTCTGGAATAGACAGTACTGTCGGGTATAGACAGTGTGGAGGGAGTCCACAGGGCATGTGAAGGAAGTTCACAGCAGGGGCACAGGGGATCCACTTTAGTCGATTATTGTATGCAAGTCAGGGGAAACAAGGTACTACACATAAACAACGAGCTACACTGTGAAGGCAGGAATGCTGAAGGACCACGTAGCGAGGAAAATTCGAACCCTCAATTCGAAGATTACAATAGACCGCAAACGTATACGAATAACTCATGGAAATATCAATAAACCAGAAAGTACTCACAAGTTTGACACTACTGAATGATGGCCACATTCCCGGTGAAGAATTAGCTTGCTCTAAGCAACCTGGTTCGATTAAGCTTTGTGAGGAAA